AGCACCACAGGCTACTTGTGGAGAAAAATGCTGTAGGCTTTGAGGGATGGGGTCGGTTGGGAATGAGAAAGAAAGGAAGTAGTCCACCCCCACTCAGCACTCAAAGTACTGTTCTCACCAAAGGGCCCAGATGTGTTTTTCTTACATTTGATGGGAGACATCTGCTCCATTGTGTTATGTCTACCCGAGGAGGGAGGTTTAGACTCTGTCAGTTGGCTGGACCCCCATCTGTTTGGTGCTCTTTCAGCCCCCCCTCTACGGAAAACCTAGAGGATACAGCAAAGGGTACAGCCCAGAATTGAATGAGTCATTTTGGCTAAGTCAATGAGATTCAACTGTGGAATCACACTGATTGAGCATAATTCCGCCGTGTGTGCATTTCATCCACTCCAGATGTTGAGACATGCAGAAAGCCAATCAGTGAGAAGAAATGTGCGAAAGGCTGCAGAAAAGTGGGAGGGAGGGATGGAAGTGCACTTTTATTCTACATAAGGACATGGCTATTGTCCTCAGGCTTACATTGGTCATGGACTGAGGGATGTGGGATGAGATAGGAGACCCGTCCGAAATGGCTCCGCGTCTACACCTGTGTTCTGGGCGTGTTGCTGACAAGTCAGAAATGAGGCATTCACGGTATAAATCAAGCCTGTGCTTTCACTCAGTTGTGTGAAGATCATTAATTCTAGCGATGGAACCGTGAATATAATCAGAAAGACATGCTAATGCTGGAAAACGACCATTCTTTAGCACTCATTTGTCTTAGTGCTTTGTCCTCCAAAATGTTCTGCCTTCAGGCTAATTATCTGTGGAATACTGAAGGCATGTTTTCCTGCTCTGTAAGGTTCCCTCAAGTCCAAGTCACTTTCCGTGATTTTTTTTCTCCCTTTATGCACTGCAAGTCTCTATCGGTAACATCATGTAAATGTATAGACGGAGGCAGAAATATCGGTGTCACATATCCTGAACCCAGATGAATCCAGTAGAGTCGCTCCTTAACAGTGTAATGCTGAGTGTTTTTCTTGTGTCAACCCTTTCTGCATATTCGCCCTGAATCAGTTTCCTAAGACCGCTGTAACAAATTACCGCCAGCTGGATGGCTTAGAACAACAGAAATGTATTCTCCCAGTTCTGGAGCCTGGAAGCGCAAAGTCGGGGTATTGGCAGGGCCACACTTCCTCCAAAGGCTCTAGGGCTTTGTTTCTTCCAGCTTCTTCTGGCTCCTTCTGGCTCCTCGTGTTTGTTGGCTTGTGGCAACGTAGTTGTAATCCCTGCCTCTGGGTTTGCATGGTTTTCCCCTGTGTCTGTAGCTGTCATTCTCTGTCTCACATAAGGACACACTCCTTGGATAGTATCCACCCTAATCCAGTATGACCTCATCTCCATCGTTCCCTTCACCTCCATTCTTCCCTTCCTGAGATCTGCAAAGACCCTGTTTCCAAATAAGGTCACATTCGGAGGTTCCGGGCAGGTGTGGATTTGGGGAGGACACTGGTCAACCCACTGCGGCCTGGTGCTGGAATCTAAAAAGGTGATGGTTTGTATTCAAACAAGTTCCCATGACCAAATATCCTAGAAGCAGAGAGCTCTTGATAAGATCGAGTCCCATGACTGTTTTCAGTAAAAAATGACCCCCCCCCCGACCAGGTACCTGTTCAGTTATGTCTGAGGTGTGACGGTCCCCCTCTCTGCTGCAGTCAGCTGATAGTCCATCAGGTTGGAGGAGCCCTCACCATGTTTTGAGAAGAAATACTACCAGTGATTAAGAGTCCTTCCTTTCAGTGGGAGGAAGGAAGCAGTAAATAGAAACCAGAATAAGTGGATGCCTTCAAAGTAGTCTCTTCCACCCTGAGGCTTGCTTGGTCCCCTAGGTCGGTGTGCACCAAAGCACTTTCAGCCAGTCTGAGGGTATTTGGTTTCAAGCTGGCTGATCCCCAAATCCGTAGTCCAGCCTTAGAACAAATTTGTTTAATTGTGTGAGTAAATGGAGGTGAAGTGACTCAAATGGAACAGGAGACAAGATCAGGCCCCAACTTATTGGGGCCCTCCTGTGCCTGCTCCCCCAGCCTCTCCACCATGGAGGCTCTGAGGGACCTAGTGAGGCCCCTAGTGAGGGGCGTGAGTTGAGCATCTGTTTCCCTATCCCTGGGCTGTCAGCATTTTTCTTGAACAGCATCTGGGAGAAACAGAGCTGTTTACCAAAGGAACAAATAATGTATGGCCTTTGTCTGCACTTTCTCTCAACAGTCATTTCCTGAGCACCTGCTTTGTGTCAGCCATTGTGTCCTCCTGGGGCTGGGGATGTGGTGACTATAGGCAACAGGGCCCCTCCACCACAGGCACCTCCCGCAGCCCATCCATTAGCTGGCCTTTCAGTGCAAGGCACAGGCTTCCTGCGCCTTAGATCTATGTTTTAGGACAACTGTCCACTGTACAGGAAACCTGGGACCTCCAAACCTCTTGTGGGCAGGGAGAGGACAGGATTGAACCTAACATCTTCATGAGGAAGGCCGGATGGAAAGGAGATACAAGTAGAGGACGGAGCAGAGGGCTGTATCTTCCGTGCTTATACTGCGTGAACTTTGTTTAAAACTCAAACCCAGTGACGGCAACCCATGAGCACATGTGAAGTGCAAACTGGGAATATGGCACAGGCTTCATGGACTGCCAGATGGGGTCGCTTTGTATTCACAGTGTTTTGGCCACAGATGTCAATAGTACGAGAAAATGCAGAGAATGGTGACACCGATTTAATATTGGTCACATAGTTTTTGTCAGAAGAGTGGCCAAAAGAAGCATAATGATAACCAGATTAAATCATAAGGAAAAGGAAAATAAAGATGCCAAAGTAAAAAGTTTATACTCACTTATCCTAATGGCAGAGAGCCACACTTACTAAGATAGCAAAGATTCCCATGTGTATTTAAACTTCGAAATGCAGACTCACATTTAGACAGGAGGTTAAATATCTGCTGTGTCACTAAAGCTGTCAGGAAGGCTGATGATGGTCTTGGGACAAACTTGAGAGTGAAAGGACTGTGGTCTGGGAACCTCTGCCCTCTAGATGCAGAGGCCCCGAGACCCCCATGGCCCCACGTGTGGAATTGCATCCTCCAGGCCAGTAGCAAGGCTCTCACAGGTGGGACTCTATTGTCCCTGGCTAATGTGGCCATGCCAGGCCTTCAGAAGAGTAGTCCTTGAGGGGGGTGCAGCGGGGAATAGAATGTGAACACCCAGAAAGACGGAACAACTTGCATCGTGATGTTTCAGGCTCATCAGAAAGACCACAAATGAGAAACAAATGCTTGTTGAGCTCCCGTTCATATTAGATCAGTATTTTGTTTGAGGTCTGTGTTTCACAGTAAGTCAATTATATCTTTTCCATGGATAAGGTAACAGTGATATGGTATTTATTTTGACAGTCATTTGCCACATCCGTGTACTGCTTCCTTGTGTGAAAATGAACTGCAGATGTGCTGAGACAGAAATGGCCACATACAGTTTTAATAATGTTTCCAAGTTGATAAAACCCCTTCCCTCCAACTCCTAGGTGTTGTTTATAAAGAACAGGATTTATGAGCGTGACTGTGCAGGCGTAACATAAACAACTTTCCGTTCACACTTGATTGGCTCACTTTTGTCGTCCCTTCCATACTAAGCTTTCTGTCTGATACTTTCTTTGCAACAAGAAATGGATGACTTATGTCGTTGGTTTATCCCAGCAACATCCTCACTCCCTGCTTAGTAGCATTTCTCTTGGTAGCAATAGCAGCTATCGACATTCTACTATCACATTCTACTATCAATTTCTCTGTTCCTGACAGTAGCTTACAAAAATCTACGTATTAGATGTGGCTACATGTGACTTTTTGTAGTATTGTTTTGCTGATATTTTTAAGTCTATTTTTCTCTACATGGCATTTAAAAAAATCATTGATTGATTTTTGAGAGAGGGAGGGAGAGAGAGAGAGAAACATTGATTTGTCCTTCTACCTATTATGTGGTCATTGGTGACTCTTATGTGCACCCTGACTGGCGCTTGAAACCACAACCTTGGCTGGGATGATGCTCCAACCAACTGAGGCACCTGATATTTTTATGTTATTTACATAAGAAAGAAGTTATGTTAGTACTTGCTACAATAAAAGAAAAGGGCTAAACAATTGAATAAAGATTTCTTGCTGTATTGAAGTCCATTTAAATGATTAGAATTGAAAGCATGTAACCATGGCACTTGAAATGCAGCCTAAGCTCATCTGTGAAGTGGGAAGTCCGATCCCGTAGCGAGGATGTTGACATGAAGTTACAGGTTCAAGTAGCAGGAAGATTAAACAGCAGAGGTTTCTGTTCCATTTGCAGAATTGCCTTGCTCGGCCCTTGTACCCTCTGCAAGTGTTGAATCCCTTGACCTCCCGTTGCCTGGTATGGTTTCTGTTTTGGATGCGTGGAAGGATCATTGGTCCTCCTGGCCGTTGTCTGTTGCCAGCACTTGCTCTTTCTGGATTACCTAAAATCATTCTTCCCGTCATTTGTGATGGGAACTACTACTTGTTTCTACACTGGCCTTTCCAGGAAGCACTGCATTTTCCTGCCAGCCTGGTGTCATGTTTAAAACCCAGGGAGCTCCAGCAGCCCTTCCTCGCTAGGCAGGCTGTGGGCTGGCATGTGGATGAGGAGAGGAACCCAGGGGGTGTCATTTTCTTCTGTGTTTCCAGGAGTCTTCCCAGAGGATTGATAGTTTGGGGTGCCATGTTTTTTTGTGTGTGTGGCTTTTTGCTATTTCTCTCAGCATGTAGCCCCCCGGTAAGTGAACAATGAGCTTCATAATTGAGTCGATAAGAAGATGCAGGTTGTGCCTTAGAATCTAGAGAACATCTGGGCTGGCACAGCTGGGCCTCGCTTCACAGTTGGAAAGGGTAAGCTAAGGGGGCTTGCTGGACTGCCCGCTGTACATCTGGGTGCCGTGGAATTCACCCCAGTTGACTGTGTTGGCTTGTTCCCAGGGCGGCAGCAGCAGCTGGATGAGCGGCGCCTGAAGGATTATGTGAATGCCGACCACGACCTATATTACAAGACAAGCCGCTCCGTGGAACCACCGTCCGAGAGGCCCGGTGAGCAGCGCCAGGCCGAGATGAAGCGCCTGTACGGGGACAGCGCTGCCAAGATCCAGGCCATGGAGGCTGCCGTGCAGCTGAGCTTTAACAAGCACTTTGACCGGAAGAGGCCCAAATACTGGCCAGTCATTCCGCTGAAGTTCTGAGCCCTGGCCTCTGGGCCCCCTTCCTGTGGGATTTTCTCCTTCTTCTGCTTCTATGCATTTTCTTGGGGAAACAGGACTTGATACGGAGATGTTCACCAAAGTGCCAGGAGGCCTGTCGTGGGGGTGATATAATAAGTCAGGCATTTTTCAGCATCAGGGTGTGTACTGTAGTCAACCTGTGAGATTTTCTTATGACATAAAATGATCATTTCATATGCATTACACCTTCAGTTCTTTGAAGTTCCCACTTAGAGACACTGCTTAGTTGTTTTTGTCTTTTTCTCCCTTCTATATTTAACCCAACTTAAATGCCTTAAATGTGTCAGCTGTGACCTCCTACTGGTACTCCGTCTGCCCCGCTGACACTGACGCAAAGGTGCAGCCAGACGGTGAGTACTCTTCTCCCACGCAGAGGTCAGCATGCAGGTTCTGCAAAGGGCCAGAGCCTTTGTATTTTTGGCTCTTCAGATCAGACGTTCTGTCTCGTGACTACTCAATTCTGCCCTTGCAGCCTGAAAGCAGCCATAGACCATAATAAGGAAACAAGTGGGGATGGCCATGTTCCAATAAAACTTTATTGATACAAACAGGTCGTGGGCCAGATTTGGCCTCTGGCCAGTAGTTTGTAGACCCGTGCTCCAGTGGATGAAATGACCTGTCTGACATTGTTGTTCTCTTTACAGAGTTTTAATGTCATACAGAGCTGAGGGCAAAAAACAGTAGTTCCCAAACCCGCTCCCCTCTGCAGTCTCCTCTGTTGTCAAAAAGGTGTTATTGAACTCTTACTTTGTACAGCAGATATCATTGTGGAAAGAGAATGCATTTCTGAGAAGGAAAATTTAAAGATTGATGGAACAGTCCATTTTAAAAAGCCAGCTGCCTTTTAAATAAGTTATTACGGTGTGTTGCCAGGGTGAGCCTTGTTGACCTGAGAAGATTAGCACATCCATCAAAGGCTGGTGGAAAGATTTAGTATTGACATGTTTTTCCCTGAGAACACTTAGGTCCACATTGCAGCCCCTGCCCTGTGACAAACGCATTACTTTCATCAGCCCCAGGTGCTTGTTTTTCCAAGCCCTTGTTTTATTACTGGAGTTGCAATTTGAACTTGGGTGTTGCAGACCAAAATCAGTATTCATTTCCCTGAAGGTGACACATGACTAAAATTTCAAGTCTCTAGTCATCCCCTTTCTTTTTTTAATGTTAAACTCATATGCCTCAGTAGAAAATAGATGTGACTCGGGCACAAATACAAACTAATTGTATTTGCAGCAGGTTCTTACCTACTTGAGAGTGAAATGTATCTCTTTATGAAGAACTTTCCTACCTTTCCCCGAAGAAACCTCCATGCCGGTGCCCCTGCGGCTGGAATTGTGGCTATGGACTTCGAGTTACTTTCACTCTCAGTGATTCGTGGTTCTCACTCTTCAAGTGGGTGTTACTGATTCCCCCACCTGGAGTTCTTGTGAGGACCACATCGAGTTAGTGCCTGTAAAACATAGTGCTAGTTGCACAGTAAATACTCAACACATGTTGATACTGTTTTATTCTGTCTTTAAAAATTGCCAAAGAGAGCCAGTGGAAATCCTAGATATGAGATGTCTTCCAAATATGGAGAACTGTTTCCCCGTCAGCCTTTCGAAGGGATGCATTGGCTTAAGTCTCATTCCCACCTGCCCTTCTTCCCAAATGCCTCATTGATAAAGTGTGGTGGGGGGACCTATGACTTATTCATTCATTTATTCAGCAAGTACTTGAGTTCTTCCAGGTAGCTAAACCATATTCTCTTTCCTCGGGGCACTTGGATTCTAGGAGAGGCAGACAGGTGTGTAAAGACGGCACTGGCATATGCGCAGGAGCTGCAAGAATGTGGGAAAGAGCAATGAGGGTGGGGCGTCTCACTCTCAGTACGATTGATGTTTGGGACCCATCCTTCTTTGTTGTTCTTAAAAAATACATACTATGGATGCATATATGACTAAAATTGAGAAACTTGCATGTAAATGATTCATACACACTAGCTTTAGAATAGTGGGTAGTTCCAAGCAGGGAAGGGATTAGAGTGCCATTCAAAACTGGTTTTTCTGTCTCTGATGTTTATTGTTTTTCTCACTTCATGTCTGGGGTTAACTGTTATGTGAAACGTGTATTTATCAAATGCTTATGTAGGGCTTACTGTGGGCCACATACTCTTCAAAATACTTTTCAAATGTTAATTTCCTTAGCAACCAACCTATGGCCGACCTATGAAGTAGCTGTTGTAGGTTCACAGCCGTTTTCCAAACCGTGAGATCAGCCGCATTCCAGGATTCAGATATTGTTGTGCTTTCAGTTCCATTCAGGTGAGGTTTTGTCATCAGATTCGTACAGTTGAGTCAGGTTAGGCTGTCAGACAAATTATTTTAAAAAAAATGAAAAATAACTTCCAGTTTTCAGAGCTTTGGGGACTTCAGGAAGAAGTAGAAGGAATATTATAGTTTTTATGGATGAGGAACCTGAAGCACAGAGGAAGTAACCCGCTGAACCAGGCTCACTCCCAGTGGTGGAAGTGGGTGTCCAACCCAGGTATTCTGACTCCTAAACTCCCCACTTTTTGCTGCTTTGCCCCGCTGACCTCAGCCTCTACAACCATACTGTCAGTATGCGTAAGGCGCACTGTTCCCAAGTGTTGCAAAGAATCTGGAGCCATTACAGCCCTCAGCAGGATTCCAGTACATTGCATGCTGGAGGGGGTTTGGTTCTAGTCCTAGCTCTGCTTGAGAATGTCTGACTCTGGATAATGCATTTGTACTTTTTGTCTGAATTTAAGAACTGAGGCTATAGCAACAAGAAGAAGAGGGATATACTTGAGATATTGAGGAAGTAGATGTTCCATGGCTTAGCAATTTGGGGCAAGTAAGGAAAAAGTCCAGGATGGCTCAAGTTTCTGTCTTGGATGGTGGTTCTAGCCATCGAGGTCAAGAAAACAATAGGAAACTGGTTTGGGAAGAAGCATGATTAATTCTATTTGGGATACAGTGAGTTTCAAAGGCTCACACACATCCAGTGACATCCTATTACTCATTGGATATTTGGGTTTGGAACTCAGTGTAGACGGTCTGCATGCATAACCCATAGACACAACAGTGTGGCCCTGGCCAGTGGGAAGGCGGGGTTGGGGCTGGGTGGAGGTGGGCACAGGTAGTGGGCCAGGGGGTGGGGAATGGGGACATCTTTAATAGTGCTTCAGAGCATAAGAGGAGTCTGTGAAAGGGAGGAGAAATGACGAGAAAACCAGGAGCTAGAGGTGTGGCAAAGGGGAAAAGTGGGACAACCAGACAATGTGGCTTGTGCTGGGATGCATTAGGAAGTTAAAATGAGCACCGGGAAAATATTGTCACAAATATGTATATACATATATCCATGTTCAATGCATTGTAAATGTTCTTTCAAATATGTATCTGTATGTATAAAAGGATCTAGTTAAGTTATCCAAGTTGAAAGATAAGGAGAGAATCTTAAAAGCAGCAAGAGATAAGGGGACAGTTACCTACAAAGGAGTTTCCATCAGACTGTCAGCTGATTTCTCAAAAGAAACCTTGCAGGCAAGAAGAGGCTGGAAAGAAGTATTCGAAATCATGAAAGGCAAGGACCTATATCTAAGATTGCTCTCTCCAGCAAAGCTTTTGTTTAGAATGGAAGGGCAGATAAAGTGCTTCCCAGATAAGGTGAAGTTCAAGGAGTTCATCATCACCAAGCCCTTATTATATGAAATGTTAAAGGGACTTACCTAAGAAAAAGAAGATAAACTAGGAACAGTTAAATGTCAACAAACAGAACTATCAACAACTGAACCTAAAAAACAAAAACTAAGCAAACCACTAGAACAGGAACAGAATCACAGAAATAGAGATCACATGGAGGGTTAGCAACAGAGAACGGGAGGGAGGCTTAGGGGAAAAAGTACAGGGAGTAAATAGCATAAATGGTAGGTAGAAAATGGGGGGGAGGGTAAGAATAGTAAATGGGAAATGGAGAAGCCAAAGAACTTATATGTATGACCCATGGACCTGAACTGAGGGTGGGGGGTGAATTCTGGAGGGAGTAGGGTGCAGGACAGAAGGGGATAAAGGTGAGAAAAAATGGAACAGCTATAAAAGCAAAATCGATAAAATATTTTTTAAAGACTATGTCTAAGTAGCAATTTACAGGAAGTAGACTAACATTTTAAAACATACTAAAGATACAATTACCCAGATCTAGAATGAGGGAAATTTGATAGGACAGCAAACCCAGTTTCTTCCAACAAATGGACTTTCAAAAAGTGCGTATGGAGAGTAGGTGCTAGCAAGGGGAAGAACTGTTACAAGATGTACTGTGTAGACTGCATATGGATTGTACTTTGAAGAAATCATGACAAATGTAAGGGAATTTGAATGTGACTGTGAGAGGATATTTAAACATTATTAAATTTGTTACGAGTCATGAGTGTTTTCTGGTTATGGGTTTTTTTTTTTCCAGTTCTCTGAATTCTTTATGGTTGGGCTCATATGCTGTTTTCAAAGGGTTTCCTTTCAAGTGGAAGGGCATGGGAGAGCTGACACTTGAAAGAGGATCAGCAAAATGTTGACAATTCTTGGAGCTGGGAGCTGGATGCCTGGGGGCCCCTTCTGCTCTTTTCTCTAGCTTTGTTTATGTTTGAAAATTCCATAGTAAACCTTTAGAAAATGAAATGGAATTTGAAGGAAAGAGATTAATAGTATTGTCACAGAAAGGTCTGGTACACTAAGAACAGAAAAGGAGACTTTGGCCTGACAGCCAAGAGACCATCGTAATGTAAAGGACCTGAGAGCAATTTCAGCGTGTAGGTGGGGAAGGAAACCAAATTTTACATCCAAAGCTAAGATGAGTGTGCAGAAGGTTGGGGGCATGTCAGAGGGACACTGGAGACAGTCTGAAAGAACTCCCAGCCCGGTGGCCCAAAAGGGGTAATATGAGCAAGAAACCAAATGCAGTATCAGAGTGTAACCCAAAGTATAAAAGAAATACACACAAGTCCATACTGACAAATGCTTGAATTATAAATGGGGAGAAGAGACAGCTCTTCCTTACAGACAAATTTCAAGTATCTATCAATACTGCCTCCTGTAGGAGGGACACCTAATCCTCCCCTGCCCACACACACTGAGTAGAGGCTAAATGAGCAACTCACTTCCAAAGAACAGACTATAGAAAGGGGAAAATAGCTTTCTGTGGAAAACTCTAGCAGACCACATCATTTAAGTGCTCAAGGTTAACATCGCCGGTGATGAATTCCGTGGGTACAGCGTGCTACCTGATGTGATCTGACGTGATGAGAAGGGCACTTCACCTCTCGTAATCTCCAAACCCATCGCTGCAGCTGAATCATGAGGAAAGCATCAGATAAACCCGAATTGAGGGACATTCTAGCAAAATCCTGGCCAGTACTCCTTAAAACCCTCAAGGCCATGAAAAGTGAGGGATACAGAAAATGTCACGGAAGAGACTAAGCAGACATGATGAGTAATTACAAGGTGGGACCCTGGATTGGATCTTGGAGGAGAAAAAGGTTATTAGTGGGAAAAGTGAAATCCAGATAAAGTCCATAGTTTCATTTCATGGGAATGTGCCAATGTTAATTTCTTAGTTTTGACACATACCTACACCACAGTTGGGAAACTGGGTGCACATGTGTAGGAGCTCTTTACGATCTTCGCACTGTTTCTATAAATCTAAAATAATTCCAAAACGCAGAGTTTTGAAGTAAAAATAGAACTTTTATATTGATTCTTGCTAATTGTGTTTATATGTAACTCTTGTTCCACCTTTAAGAGGGGGAGAGATATTCTTATTTTTCAAAAGAAGAAACTTACAAAGCCTTCTTCATTCTTTTGAGTGCTGCAGAGTCTGACTGCTCAGACACCGGAATGGTGAGAATGCAGGGCAAGGGAAGTGAGGACCCGACCTTCGTTAGTGCCTCATGTGTATAGCAGTGCACAACTTGCATGTCACCTGCTTTGTTTCTCTGGACAACCTGATGAAGCATGTTCCCCAGTTTTCTGATGAGCAAATCCATCCAAAGTAAGAAGAAACGACATGCCTAATGGCTGGGGGTTGGGTGGAAAAGGGGAGTGACAGCTAATGGGTTCAGGGTTTCCCTTGGAAGGGATGAAAACGTTTTGGGATATAGAGATGGTGGCTGTGCAACACGGCGAATGTGCTAAATGCCACTAAATCATTCACTTGAAAATGGTTACTTCTGTGTTAGATCAATTTCAGCTCCATGAAAAACAAAGGGTAATACTAAAAAAGAGGGAGAAGCCACAGTCTAGTTTTTCAGGGTTCTTTGTAAGGATACTCAATGCAGAGTTTCAACACACCGGCCACTGCAGATGCTGCAGTTCTGCCTTCAGCTTCACGGTGTTTCCATTGGCCAAAGACGTGCTGAGTTGTCTCCCACTTCGAAGCAGCCAGCCAAGAACAGTAAGGCAGACCCACCAACATGAACACCCGATTGCTGTGGGGAATATGGTGGCACTGTATCAGTTGGGGGAGCCACTTTCTGTGTTGCTACATGGTCATGCACGGCACACAAACTCAACGCAATGGAACCTGTCTCTGTGAGCAGAGTCACCCCAAGGGAATGGGGAGATCAGTAATCATCCCAGCTGGGGTGCTAATGAATTGTCTCAAAACCAAGTCATAACTGATACCAAGTGAAAGCACCGTGTCCACATTAAAATACAGAATGATTGAAGAAATAAAGTACATGTGAAACCTTCTAAAAAGAATCTGTGGTCTAGGGATGGGAGAAAACCTGGAGAGTGATGGATAGAAATCATGTGGTGTGTAATATTTCTCAATTCCTTTGTCTTTTTTGAAGGGAGCCAAAGAACAGTTATTCCACCACATAGGCATTAGTACATGACAGAATGTGAATAATACTCCATAGCACACAGTTAGAGAAGCGCTTTATTCATTGAATGAGTCCTCTTTTTAACCAACAGGACAATGTAGGAGTCTTACTTGGCTGCGGGTGCCGCAGGAGTCACCCGTGTGGCTTCAGGAAATTGAGAGAAGAAAAGGATCAAAGACCAGTTTGGAGAGAAGCTGTATTTGGGCTCAGTCTACTCCTAGAGAGGATAGACTTGGCAACATACAGATGGCATGGACACACACTCCAGGTAGAACTACCAGCAAAAGGTGGAATATGTGCTTGTGTATGGGAACTAGAATGTACATCCATCTGGCAGGCTCCCAAGGTCCTCAGACCTGGCTGCGCATTGAAATCCCTTGGATCCTTCTCTAGCCAAGTAAATCAAAATCGCTGGAGCAGGGGCTCAGGTACCACGAGCGTGCTTAAAGCTCTCCAGGCTTTGATGTTCAAATTGCAGTGTGGTCTTATACACTACCTTTTGAACTTTGGCATGTGTAACAATCACCCGGGGGAGCCTGCTGATACACAGATTCCTGGGCCCTACTGTAAGATTTGGATTCAGTAGTGTGAGGTGAGGCCCATTAACCTGCCTTACTATTAAGCTCCCAGGTGGTGCTGATGCTGCTGGTACACAGATTTCACATTGACTAGCACTGAAGGCAGCAATGTGATAATAAAGGAACAGTAAAGAAAGGTTTGCAAATAGCATGCTTTCTTAAAGAGTAATCCAGAAGAGTGAGTTCAAGTGCTCAAGGGAGACAATGTGGTGACATTAATGGCAGCCATGCCAGGACTTGCAAATATCCTGTAGCCCTTTATCCCCCATACCAAGTGCATTGCGTTGAGGAGAAGGTCATGACAACGTGGGTTAGAGTAATGGGTTTGTGAAGGAGAGTGATGACACAGAAGCATGGGAAAGGGCCAGTTTATGAAGGGCCTTCCCTGCTAGACTATGAACTCTAAGCAACTGCAAGGTCTTTACAAAGGCCATTTTTCAAGAAGAAGACATTTGCAGTATTTGTTCAAAGGCGATACAGTAATGAGAATTAATGGGGCTTGACTACAGAAGTGGCAGTGGAACTGAAGAGAGAAGATAGATGTGAGAGATGGGGCAGAAATAGCAACTCCATCCTTCCAGGTGCTCATCCAACTCTTCTCTTTCCCTCCTCCGGCCAATCTATTAGAAATGTGGTCGGCGCTACTGACTTTTCACATTTCCACAGCTGCCTCTGTGTTCAAAGCACCACCCTCTCTCACCTGGATTCATTCAGTGGCTTCCTAACTTCCTTTGCCCTTCTACAATTTATTCCTAGCACAGAGCCTACAGAGATGCTTCTAATACATAAGCCAGGTTTCCACACTCTTTTGCTACCATCTCATTGATAGTAACAGCTCAAGTCCTTCCAGTGGATGACCTTAGGCATGGTAAGACCTGGTCCCCTGTTACCTTTCTGACTTTGGGTCAGTTTACTTACCCACTCCCATTTTCCTCCAGCCCCATTGATCTCTTTTGAGGACCTTGCTACTCAGAGTAGCCATGGTCAGTCCCTAGACCAGCAGCATCAGTATCATCTGGGAGCTCATTGGAAATAGTGTCCCACTTCCACCCCAGACCTACTGAGTCAAGATCTGCATTTTAACAAGACCCTCAGGAGTTCCTCTGCACCAATAAGGTGGAAATGATGATCCAGAATAGCCAGGTACTCTGCTGCCCCCAGGATTTCACACTCACCATTTCTCTACCCGGACAGCTTGCCCTGTAAATAGCCACATAAATCACTCTCTCCCTCCTGTAGTCACATTCCGCCTTCTCAATGTTCTATTTAAAATTACAGCCCCCTCCACCAGGAAGGCAGTCATTAAGCCCTCTGTTGCCTTTATTTCCCCCATAACCCTTATCGGCAACTGCAAGTGGTGGTCTCTGGGAAGTGCAATCAGGTATGGAAGGATGGGATCTGGACTATGGCTTGTTTGAGCCTAAGTCTTGCAGAATTATTGGACTTTTAATGCATGTATGCCTTCTATTTGTTTTTGTTTGTTGAGATTAAAAACTGCCAGCCCTGGCTGGTGTGGCTCAGTGGATTGAGTGCTAGCCTGCAAACCAAAGGGTCACCGGTTCAATACCCAGTCAGGGCATATGGCCTGGGTTGCGGGCCAGGTCCCCAGTAGGGGGAGCACAAGAACCAACCACGCATCGCTGTTTTCCCTCTTCCTCCCGCTCTCTCTAAAAATAAATAAATAAAGCCTTTTGAGGAAAACTGCCAGAGCTTAGTTCCACATGTAAGGAGCATGGGAGTTAGCACCCCATCCTAACAAAAAGCCAAAAGCTGAAAAGACTGAAAAATCAACAAGTCTTCTATGCTCTGTGACAGGGGAGGACACAGCAAACCGCTGCCCCCAAGACTGGAGAGCAGGGAATACAAGGCATTGTGGCTTACCACAGTGGAGCTTCAGAGCTGTGACCACCGTGGGAACCAGCGCTGGGGCAGGAAACAGGAATGGCAAATGACATATTGCTGGATGCTCAGTG